TGGGGCACAGCTCGGTGTGGCAGTGCCTGTCTGTGAGTGACAGGGGGGAGGCTGTGGGTGTGACTGCCTGGGGCACAGCTCCGTGTGGCAGTGCCTGTCTGTGAGTGACGGGGGGTGTGTGACTGGGCTGGCTCCGCGTGAACAGTGTGGCAGTGCCCCTGTGCCAGTGCCGGGGGCTGGCGGTGCGCACAGCCGCCCAGGCGGAGCCGTGTGCCGGGGCAGGGTGCACGGCCCTGCCCTGCGTGTGCAGAGCGTGGCGGCGGTGCTTGTGTGAGTGAGTGACCGCCCGGCTGTGTCAGGTGACTCGGGTCACGCAGTCTCTCTCGCTCGCTCCTCTGGGAGGACGCGGGCTCTGGCTGGCTGCTCCAGTCCAAGCACCGCCTGGCCCAGGGCCCGCGGGGAAGGGACCGAATCGGAACTTCCCGCGACAGCCGCGATGAGCCAGGTGCCGAGGATGCCCCAGGAGGAGGAGGAGGAGGAAGATGAGCTTGTTGGGCTCGCGGATTACGGGGATGGGGCCGAGTCCTTCTCGGATGGAGACCCGGAGACCGGCGCCGACGAAGCGTGTGAGTGCCCCGCCGTGCCGGGGAGGGCAGCGCCGCCACCGCCCCATGCCTCCGGGGCCGGGAGCCGACCCAGTGCTGGGTGTGGGGGCAGGAACTGATTGTGTGGGGTGGGGAAGGGGCTGGCACTGTGGGTGTGGGGGATGGGGCAAGGCAGGGGCTGGTTGTGTGGGGTGGGAAGGGGCTGGCACTGTGGGTGTGGGGGGATGGGGCAAGGCAGGGGCTGGCTGTGTGGGGGTGGGAAGGGGCTGGCACTGTGGGTGTGGGGGGATGGGGCAAGATGGGCTGTCTGTGGGGGGCAGGAGCTGGGGGTGACTGGCTCTCTCGGGAGGGCACAGGGGAAGGTACTATGGTAATGGGGGACTGGGTCTGGGTGTGGGGGAGCAGGGAATGGGGCAGGGCAAGGGCTGGTTTTCTGGGGATGGGGAGGAGATGGCTCTGGATGGGGGGATAGGATAAAGGCATGGACTGACTGGAGAGGGGACTGGGACTGGACTGGCTCTGTGGGGAGGGGAAGGCAATGTGGGGATGGGAGCCTGGCTCTGGGTGTGGGGGAAGGGGCAAGGCAGGGGCTGAGTTGGGGATGGAGTGGGAGAAGAGGCTGGCTCTTTGGGAATAGGGGGAGGGGCTGGCCCTGAGAATGAGATAAACGAAGGTGTTGGCTGTGTGGGTATGGGAAGGGACAGGATTTGGTGATGGGGGTATAGGATGGGGTTAGGGTCTCTTTAGGGAGGGTAAGGGATACTGAATAGGGAGGTAGAGCAGTGATCCTGTATTGTGGGGGGAGGGAGAGTAAGCAAGTTTGAGCATGTCAAATTTGGCTGTGTTATGGGGTAGGAGGCAAGAAGGGAGAACAAGGTAGTTGTATGGTGAAGGGAATGTATGAGGAATAGGGATGTATTAGGAAGTATGAACAGGAATGGATGGAAGGACATGGGGACTCAGTGTTTTGATGGGGGGAGGAGAGCAGCACTGGTTATATGTTGGGGAATGGGAATAGGAGACATTCAAACAGAAAAACATCTCCATATAGTACTTACCATGTCTTCTGCTGTGAAAGTTTTCCATGTATAATATAATGGACATGGCCTGGTGATGTTTCTTTAAAGTGCCAAGAGGCGGGGAGGACAGATGTCAGGCTATAAAAGGCAGCAGCAAGCAAAGAGCTCTGTATCCAGGGCTGCTCTGCAGCTGTGAATGTCAGTCCCCAGACTTCCAAGCTCTGCTTAAATGTATGTGTGACCGTATGCATATATATGTTGCTGTGGGTGCCTGCATTGCCATTTGCTTTATCCATCAGTGCATGTAGAGGCAACAGTGATGTTACAAAACAAATGCTTGTTGGGAAATACATTACAAAAGAGGTAGTCCAGGCCAACACCTGTTGCTTTCACTTAGAATGTGCACTGTTTTCCCCTTGAAACACTGTTACATTTTACAAAGGAGCTTGGAGAATATTGAATATTTCAGGGGGTTGCTTTTTAAGTACATAATACAAAGCCAAATATTCATTGATATACAGACTGATATGGTGTAATAGGTATTGTTGCTTTTAAAACCACTTAAAACATCTGAGTAAGGGATTTTCTGTGTTAGTGTGTTTATTTTTTGAAACTACTTATTTATTTAGGAAGTTTTAAGAAGTTTACAAATCCTTGCCATGTAAATATCAGAAACAAAACAATTTATTACAACAGTTAGCTTTTGTTTAAAGAGATATTATACAGGACTATATTCATCCAATCTTTCTGTTTAACAGGGTATTACCATATTACAGAATGAACATCATTATAACACTTATGTCATTTCTAGTGATTTTTATTATATTGAGTGAAATCTTTGTATACACATTTAACAGACCAGGTATGTCTATCAATATTCAAAAAAATTGGACAGGTGTACTGGTGTTTTTGCAGGTGATTGTACTATGTCTGAATATTGAATAAAATGCAACCAAATAGCTAAGTATCTATCTGTCCTCTGTCTATTTTGCTGGGTACATAATTTGTGTGTTAATTTTTCCATAACCAGAGCCTTCCATATTTTTGAAGCATTCCTCCATAGTTGGACTGTTTTTCTTTTTACAATGAGATGCTACCAATAGCCTAGCAGCTACTAGCAGATGAGAGATTAATTCTTTATTTCCTTTGTGTGACCATTTCACTAGGAAGTCCCAGGATGATTACCAAAGGATCATTTGATAATAAATATCCAATAGTTTGTGATATGTGGCTACAGATTGCATCCCAATACTCTCTAATGACTGGACATGTCCTGCATACAATCTCATCTTTCACCACAGTTTCTCAACATTTATTTGCATACAGTCTCTCTCTGTTTTTAACCTGACTGGTGTGAGGTACCATTGAAACAATATCTTAAGGACATTTTCTTTTGTTGTGCTACAGATGGAGGTTGCTGGTCCTCTTTGACAAATCAAACCCCATTCCTCTGGAGTAATTTGTCTATCCACATCTTTTCCCAATGTGTCATATATGAACACTTTTGTTAGGAAAGCTGTCTGCAAAGATTGATATAAATTAGTTATAATTTTTTTGTTTTCTAATCAACAGCATGTTTATTTTTAAATAACTAAATTTGGGTAGAGTTTAAGACTTGCTGTAGACAAGTAATCCAAAGGAACTTACTGAGAAGAGAATGGTGATTATTTCTCAGTAGACCCTTGCTGTCACTGCAGCAGTTAAAAAAACTCAACAACTCTAGAAAACATTTTTTCGTAGTAGCGTAGTAATATTATATTTAACTGATGAAAACAGCTGTGTCCCAGAAACATCTGAAGGAGGCAAAAGCACTGAGGGAGGAAATCTCCATGAGGATCCCCTTATGGAATTTATCCTCTGTTGTTGCTTCAGGGTACCCTTTTTCCCTTGAATGAACCATGAGACCCTCTTCTAAACCGGATGGCTCTCTGGAATCCACAAGTGGGCAGGGCAATTCATAGAGACTCTATGCCTCCATGCAGGCTCTGGCCACCAAGAGCTCTCTTGGAAATCCAGTGGATCTGGCCTGCCTGTTGCTTCTGAGGCCTGCAGAGGGCAGAGTCTCTATAGAGGGAGCCTGGCCGTGTTATCTCCTTTACTTAACTTCCACTGGGCTGGAGGGAAAGATGTCTTTCTCTTCCCCTTGGCTTACTTGGCTTACCCTTACCATTCTCCAGGACTCAGGGAGCAAACTCTGCAAAGATCAGAGTCATGGATCCCTCCTTCCCATGAAAGAGAAGTGGAGGAAGATCAATATATGGCAGATAACTTTTTCCAAAAGTTATTAGTTTGCTTTGTCCCTGTACCCCACCATATCCACATAGGGGTTATTCATAGATTCATAGATTCTAGGACTGGAAGGGACCTTGAGAGGTTATGATTGTACATGCACAGGGAGTTTCTGAACATACTGTGGATCACCTCCCAAGACTAGTAGTTACTTGCCTTTTGGCTGAACACTGGAAAATGTTAGTGCATAAAACACAGCAATCTTCCAGCTTTCCACATATAATCATTCTTTGTTCTTCCATTCAGAGACCTCAAAGCACTTAATTTTGTAAAGCCTCACAACCCACTTGAACTGTATGTAATAAAAAATCTTCTCACTTGCAGTTGGGAAACTGTACTACAAAGCACCTACATGACTGGCCCAAAGTCATACAGGAGCAGAATGCCAGATCTGGTGGGTCTGTGGCAGAACAGAACCCAGATCTTCTGATTCTCAGTCTGTTCTTTAGCCACAAGAACATCATCCCTCCCCCACCCTCACTTCTAGTATGTATGAACTAGGGTTGTCGATTAATCACTGTTAATTCACGTGATTAACTCAAAAAACATTAACCATGATTAAAAAAATTAATCGCAGTTTTAATCACACTGTTAAACAAAAGAATACCAATTGAAATTTATTAAATATTTTGGATGTTTTTCTATATTTTTGAATACTTTGATTTCAATTACAACACAGAATACAAAGTGTACAGTGCTCACTTTATATTATTTTTATTACAAATATTTACACTGTAAAAATGATAAACAAAAGAAATAGTATTTTTCGGTTTACCTCATACAAGTACTGTATTGCGATCTCTTTATCGTGAAAGCTCAACTTACAAATGTAGATTTTTTTGTTACATAACTGCACTCAAAAACAAAACAATGTAAAACTTTAGAGCCTACAAGTCCACTCAGTCGTACTTCTTGTTCAGCCAATCACTAAGAGAAACAAGTTTGTTTACATTTACGGAAGTTAATGCTGCCCGCTTCTTATTTACAATGTCACCTGAAAGTGAGAACAGATGTTCACATGGCACTTTTGTAGCCAGCATTGCAAGGTATTTACGTGCCAGATATGCCAAACATTCATATGCCCCTTCATGCTTTGGCCACCATTCCAGAGGACATGCTTCCATGCTGATGACACTTGTTAAAAAAATAATGCGTTAATCAAATTTGTGACTGAACTCCTTGGGGGAGAATTGTATGTCTCCTGCTCTGTGATTTACCCGCATTCTGCCATATATTTCATGTTATAGCAGTCTCGGATGATGACCCAGCACATGTTGTTCATTTTAAGAACATTTTCACTGCAGATTTGACAAAACGTAAAGAAGGTACCAATGTGAGATTTCTAAAGATAGCTACAGCACTCGACCCAAGATTTAAGAATCTGAAGTGCCTTCCAAAATCTGAGAGGGACGAGGTGTGGAACATGCTTTCAGAAGTCTTAAAAGAGCAACATTCCGATGCGGAAACTACAGAACCCGAACCACCAAAAAAGAAAATCAACCTTCTGCTGGTGGCATCTGCCTCAGATGATGAAAATGAACATGCACTGGCCTGCACTACTCTGGGTCGTTATCAAGCAGAACCCATCATCAGCATGGACGCATGTCCTCTGGAATGATGGTTGAAGCATGAAGGGACATATGAATCTTTAGTGCATCTGGAACATAAATATCTTGCAACGCCGGCTACTGTGAAATAGGCAAGGGATATATT